CTCTCTTGCTTTTTTTTTAAAAAAAAAAGACACCTTCTTTTCTCTCCGTAATGTTTCCATTGAGCAAGTGCTATCGTAACGGTGCAATATATTTTTTAATAGATTTTACTACCGTGTCACTTTTGACTGTTTCGACTTTTCAAGTTTTTTTTTATAAATATAATGATCTGTGTTTTTTTTTCTAATTCCGTTTATGCTATCCCAACAATTTTTTATTTCGCCCCTGAAGTAGTGAAACGCGGATATTGACATTTCTGCCAACATGGTCCACCGTTCCAAAACAGCTCGCGTAGAGAACTGTTATTTGACGTAGGACATGTTCGGCTACGCACTGCGACATCCGAAGCTTCCTGCTCGCAACGGAATCGTGAATGCCGCGGGCCTGACCCCGTTGACACTCGCCTGCCAGCTGGGGCGTGCCGAGGTCTTCCGTGAGATGCTGGAGCTGTCCGCGCGGGAGTTCTGGCGTTACAGTAATATCACTTGCGCGGCGTACCCTCTCAATGCCCTCGACACGCTGCTACCCGACGGCAGAACAAGTACGTCGTAAAGCTAATCGAATTACGCCGGTCTGGGCTCTACGAGAATCGTTATCCACGGCCCACTGAATTGTGCATCTTCAAGTGGGCCCTCACTTTGTCGCATGTTCCCGAGTTAATTGCGACGAGTCAAGGCCGAGATGTTCCCAAATAGTAGCGACACTGCAGCGCGAGGGAGAGAGTCTCGTTGTTCCTTTTGTTCCTCCTCCCCCCCCCCTGGAGCGCCACCCTCTCTTTCCTTCTTCCTCTCTCATTCTCGTTCGCTCTCGATCTTTTTATTCGTGCAAAAATTTGCTCTAATTTGCGTTAGAGAAGTGGCAATCAAATCTTTCTCACGCACGAAACACACGGTTTTCTTGATTGAAAAAGAATATTCGAAGTGTTTCTAGATTTACGCGATTTTCTTTCGGTTACTAGTTTCAAAGAACACATTCGCGCAATGCTTTCAGCTGTGTATTTTACTTCTGCTATTATTCTGGCTATTTGTAATTCATGCCCTTTTCAATTCTTTGTGCACATATTGTATTTTTTTTAAGGGAGACTTTGCTCTCAGTTATAAAGTAAGTTAGTAGTTTAATTTCACTTCTCACTACACGCTACCGTCTATTCTGTTTTCTTGTCTCCTTTTTTAATCTCAAACGTTATAACACACCTCAGGAATAAAGTGCGCCGTCGGGAACGTCTTTGAAATATTCGGTAAATTATTCCGCGTTGAGTTTTTTCGTGCTGCATTATATGCGCAACTTATGTAAAATTGTTCGCACGGTTTCCAACGGCTTACCCCCGTGTAAAGCGTCCCAACAAGAAGAAGGCGGCAATAGAGCAAAAATTGCGACACGAGTGTTGACGACAGGGGAAGAGAAAGGAGACAGAGAGAGAGACAGAGAGAGAACCAATATAGCGAGTACAAGAAGGGACTATCTTCTCCCGTAAAATTGGATACGAGGACAAAATCGAGGACAAAATCGGGTTGTAAAGTTTCCGGGGGGGGGGGGGAAAAGGAAAGAGATTTCACAAAGTTTTCCTACGTCGAACATAGGACGCAGGCGGATAGTAAACCATACTGCCAACAACTTGGCCCGACACGCGAATAACACGTCCCGGTAAAAACCAGCTGATATTGGCTCGTTATCGCCGCCCTTACCATCGTTATCGCGTCGATATTTCCCTGCTTTGACGGTAATTTAGAATCGAAGTCGATTCCTCATTTAATTGGTATCCAGCGAGATAAATGAAATCGTTCTAGGAAGCGCGATGCAAACTGCAGCGATGTAATTCGAGGTCGATGCTTTATACACGGTACATTTAATTTTATGTATACAGCGAGCTCTGCCAAAAGATCTCCGCGTTATTAATGTCTTTCCGATTTTGACTGCCGGGTTCACATTTATTTTATTAGTCCTCCCGTGACCGCTGCGACAAATATGTCCCACTTACAAAGTCTAAAAAAACTCAATAATTTAATATGCGTACTCTATTTCTGGAAAAAAGAACACATCAGCAAAAATGAAAAAAAAAACGAATTTGTCACGAAAAGATTAAAGCGACTGATATCAGCGACAATCTAATTGTAAGAGCAATTCGAGAGAACGGTCTCGCGCGAGACTTGAAATATTTACGCCAAATTTTGCTACGCGAATACGATCGCAAAGTTCACGACGCAGATCTCAAATTGATTCGATTTGACGAAGTAACCGATCTTTGGAATACCATAAAGTATTGTCAGCGAATGCTCGCCCGCATTCGAATGTGAAGCAGCCATAGTGGTATCCCCGTAGGGGCATCTCCCTCCCGTCCAGGGTGGCGATGCAATTCGATTTTACCCACGGCGTTTGTCATGTCACCAAAATTTCCCAACAAAGAACCGCGGAACGGCGAAGGGGGAGGGGAGGAAAGGGCAGGGGAAAGTTTTGCGTGCTGCCGTTCGCATTTTAAGAGGGCCGTCAGTCGAACTTGCGTGAAACTGTATCGAAGTTCGCGGCCGGGCACGGAGAGCGTTGCCGAGAAATGGATGCGTTCGTCGTCGTACGTACCTGCCCCAGGTACCCCCCCCCCCCCCTGAGTTGTTCGCGAGTACAAGCACCGCGAAGCGCGACGCGGATGCCTGGGAGCGTGGTGGGTCGTAGCAGGATGCAATTACGGGCATTTAACGAAGTTTCGAGATTAGCCGCGGACCCGACGCGGCGCGACGCGGCGCGGCGTCGGGAGCTTGCGTTTCATTTAGTTTCGGAATCCATTATCCCTTCGATCCTTCCTGGCCGCCGCCCTAGCCCACCTATCCTATCCCCCTCGTGGCGTGGGCGTCTCCACCGGGGCACGAGCCGTCGCCCGATTTCGCAAAGGGTGGCGGCGTCGCGCCGGCCGGGGTCGCCCGAGGAAAGTAACCACGGCGGCGAGAGGACAGTGCTATAGCGAGGCGAGCCGAACTTTCGGTACGTCTCTCCTACGGGCACGCTTAATTACTCCAAACCGAGGCTGGAGTGAAAGAGCGAGGGAGCGAGCAAGCGAGAGAGAGAGAGAGAGAGAGAGGGCGGAATCGAAAAGTGAGGGTGGATGGTGGCGGTTGGCCAAAAGAGCCTCGGTGACGGCGGTCAAAGGTCGAGCTTTCAGCAGAAAAGCCATTCCCCTCGTCTCGGCCCTGCCGACGCTTTTTTTTCCCCCGTTTTAATCCGCGGGCCGCGTCGTGAACGCGTGACGTACGCGTAAAATGTTATTTTCGCCAACTTCCGGTATCGCATCCGCGCTAGAAACTGGACTCCGCGCTCCAACCCCCGAGACAACCCGCGCGCAATCAACGCTGTCATTTTTCGCGGCGCCACTATTCGCGGGTTAATTAAAAATTAATTCTGTTAGCAACGCAGATACGTAGAAGTATATAAGCGTGGCGTGTGAATGCCAGATCGGAAGAAGTTTCGAAATAAAAATTATGGAATGTTGCAATTTTTATTGCAGGCAGTTTATGCTCTGTTGAGAGAAAGAGAGCGGGGAGAGGGCCGAGGCATTTATGCGTTATACTTGTATTTTTTTTGTAGCGCAAAAGATATTAGTCTGCAAGTAATCGCGTCGATGAAAGTCTCGTACGCATGTAATCACGGCGATGCTAACACCAAACCGCTTACGGTATTCCTGACCGGGAACAGATTCCCGAGGGCGCGCGATCGTTAAGACGGTTGCCATCTTTCACGTTGCACAGGCTCTTATTTCAGACTTTTCCTTAGCACGTAAGCGACGTTACGTAAGAGGACTACAGCAGCTTTCGAGTTCGAAACGACCCGCGATATAAAATTTGCCCCCGAGTGCGTGTGGTGTATACGGGGAGAAAAATATGTATCGTTTGAAATTGCGTGCCAAAAATTTTCTGCATTCTATTTTACTTAAGGATCGTTTAGAAAGTTGCAACTGTATTGACATATGAAATTCAAATTCCGAGAGTAAAGATACGTATATCTATAAAAGTATAATGTTTTAACCGTAGAAAATATAAATAAATTATTTTCCATACATAGTTCAAGAGAGGTGTAATTTCGTAAATGCATCGTAGTTTCACAATTGCCAAGTTATTAATGAAGCTTATTAAGCAAAGTTAATTGTTTTAGTAAAATTTATAGTTTACATTTAATGATTAAATTAATGAGTTTACGGTCAACCGCGTGTTACGTTACAGCAAAAATGTCAAATAAAAGAGTTTTATTTTTGCATGTAATAATTTTCTTCGGGTAAAAAGTCATAGCATTATTCGTGTAGTGTATGGTAATGTCACGCATTATGAAAGGAACGAAAAAATTAAATGTCAACAAAACGACTCTCTGCTCTTATGTGTAACGGGTATGTTTAAATTTGTATTTTTGAGCAGTATGATACCATAGAACTCGTATTGGTGCACCAAAAAGTCCGGAACTGTAGCTACATACAGGGTGTTCCATTTAAATACGTTACAATTAAAAAATCTTTTTATGAACGTGAAATTTGGAAAGTTTTATCGTTTATCGTCGTTGATTAATTTTAAATTTCTCCTCATTAAAATATCCACTTGAAATCAGGTAGACGAGAAGATACAGACATCGGTTTATACTTTCGATATTTAATTCGTAATGCAGTTAGTTTTCAGTATCGAACATCGAGTGTAAACGAAATCCGCGTTGAAAAAAACATCACCCTTGCAAACTTGACGACACCCAGTAGACGCTCACGCGATTTTAATTATCCGTTGAGCTTTCACGGAGCTTCCCTTCTCTTCTATTATTTAACTTCGATACCAGAACCTATCGACTTGTCGACCCGAGAAAAATGTAGAGGTGTGCCGATATCTATTTCGAGAGTATCCGGCACAGAATCGCATATCGCAGGCTTTATCGCGACGACAATAATAGAGATCCTTAGAAAATAAGATTCCGTGGTAAATCCCATAAAGACGAGCCAAACAAAGGATTATTTTATACAGAGTCAGTGCTGATAATAAATTTATTCTTAAGGTTACTTTCTGTAATCGAGTAACTTTTCTTTTATCTTGAGCCGAAGGTGGATTTATATATACACAAGTTGGACAAGCTTAAGACTTTGCGTTATTAAAAGCTTTAGCTTCCTTAAGCGACTTGCGAATTATTTCCAATTTGGATATTTTACATTTATTATTTAATTTATAATTTCGAAAAGAGATCTCGTTCGTATTTTAGCCTACGCGGATTTAAATTGTACCGTCACGGTTCTAATTAGTAAGTTTATCTACCTCGAAAGTACTTTCTCTCTCTCTCTCTCTCTTTCTCATTAACTTCACGACCGGTCCTCCGAAATAATTACTGCCGATCGTGAGAAATGAAGCGCCCAAAGTGGTACTTTGTTATTTAAGCTCGGTTCAATGTCCGGTCGAGGTTGGTAGATAGTGGCCGAGGATGCGCCAGGAGGAAGCTCGGGGAAAACTATCGCGGCTCCGTGTTCCAAAGTCAGATATAATTACGTGCTGCGGTAACGGACACGCGTTAGTAACTTCGCCGCGGATACCGACCGGTTTCGAGCCGGGAGATCAGCGGTCGTCATGCAAAATTGAGAGCCGGAATGATCGAGGGTATCGACGTTAGCGTCCGATCCGCGCGCAGCGGATTTTATCGCTCGATTGACTCGTCTGAAATCCGAATAACCCCCTTGAATTATAAATGCACGGGGAGGGGGGGGGGTGAGGGATTTCAATTTGAGAATCTCAATCAGTGTAACGTCTGCTGTACGAGCGAGTCACGAAACTCGTTATCGGAATTTAGAATTCTATCTTAAGACCTGGCCACGTCTTTCTAAGGTTTTATTTAAGAATAAAAGTCAATATTCGAACGAGTATCAAAGCGCTAAAATAACGGCTGAAATAATGGCGGCCGCTCTGGACCGTTTCCCGTCCGGGAAATGATGTTTTTGACGGGTCAAGCTACCGTGCGCACCTTCGCCCGGTGTCGAGCGGTAATTAAGGACTCCCGAGGATACAATCCTCCAAGTTCCAATTACTTTAGCACTCGCGCCAAAGCCGGGCGAAGTGCGACGACAGATGCATGCGATCGATACACTACCGAGTCTCTCCCCGTAACGCTGCACATGAACGTTGCACTTAATATTGCACGACGCGATTCGGCAGGGCGAAAGGCGTACTCTATATCGATCCTGCTAAAATGTTTAAAAGTCAGTAATCGTGATTCAAATATTTAAACGTCGACCTACGGCGATGGAACTGTCCGGGTCCCGCGTCGCCATGGATTGCCCAGTTCGTCCGCACCGGTGTACATAAACGTCTGGCGTGTCTCTTTTTTTTTATCTTTTTCGAGGGAATGCCGTACCATTCTCCGGCCATTGCGAACATTTTCGAATGAAACTTTAATGCGCGCCGCGGATTTATCCTTTGGCCGTACGGTACCGGCGACGACACATGGCGGCGACGGAAAATTTCCGTCTCCACAGGCGGAAATCTTTCGGTGCCGGATGTTTCGCCGCGCCGTGCCTGCGCCGGGGTGGAAAAGAGGGCGCCGAAAAGACCCGCTCTCGCACCTGCACCTGCCCTATATGTATATACATCGTGCTATATGCACGCTCACTAATGCAAAACCCATAATTATCGCGGCGTAAACCCTAAAGCGATGTTCCATTAACCGCAAATGGCTCTCTCCGAATTTCTATTTCAGACTGGAACTCTGCGCTATTTATCATTCTGAACGGTACGAAGGAGGAGCACTTGGACATGCTGGACGGTGGTATTATTCAGCGATTACTTGAGGAAAAATGGAAGACCTTCGCGCGAGTAAGTGCGTCCACGTGATGGCGTTCCCGCTCGTTTCTCGCTGAATTATAAGGCGTTACTATATTTCGGAGTTTTTCATCGTCTCTTCGTCTTTATGCCTGACTTTGCCACGACGACCTGAGATCCCCTTTGTTACAATAGAATCGCACAGCGCGCACACGTACACGCACGCACACCCTGGCCTCATCTTTTATTAAATCTTCTCTTACTGTTATTTTGAATACCCCATTTTTTTTTCGTACACCCCCTCGGAATACGAAATTCAAAGGATAAATAGCCGCCTCTTTCCCAAAACTAGCTTGAATAATGTCTATTATGTTCGACAATAAAAAGTATTTTAATGAATAGTACGTCAAAGTTAGAAAGTTATACATGATATTAGAATTTGCAGAATTATATTGTGATATTCACAAGTTGCTTTGTTCTTTCATAAAATATAATGGCTGCTTTTTATTCACAGCTCATAACCTTGTATATTCGCATAACCGATTCCTACGTCGACAAAGGGAGATCTTTTTTTTTCTGTTCCGTGCGTAACTTGAAGCACCAAAAAGAAAACGGATTCTTTTGGTTCTTTAATCTTCTATTTTTCGTATTTTGTGTGTTTGCGTAATTAAGTGCTTTACGTCGAGAAGTGTATTAAAAATTAGGGATTACGAGATTGTGTGTTTCTCCAATGCCTTCTCCGGGCATAACTTTTAAGCGACGTATTTTCATTAGATAATATTTAAATGACATTAAAATAACGTGGTTTACATCGAGTTTACTCGAAACTATTCGAAAATTTATTTCTGCTAAAAGCTTATCACTCCCCTCGAGTAACTTTTTAATCGGATCCGCTAAACTTAACGGCGAATCAATCCTAAGCTCGTTAACAAATCAATCTTTCATATGCGATATGCCGGCATGCAGTTAAAGATATTTCTGTTTGGTGGGAGGCAATTTTAGATTTTTGTCGTCAAACTATATTTTTGGGAAATCTTTACGCGAGCACTTTGAGAAAGATCGGCTTACATCGCAAGAGCAGCTCACGTTGCGATACTTTTTCGCTTATATATTTTATGTCGTTGACAACACATAAGCCACCTGGACAATTGCCGATAAATAACATGTTACTTCGCAAAGCTACTTAGGTTACTTACGAGAGAAGGGCGGAGGGGGTAGAAAGAGAGAGAGAGAGAGAGAGAGATCGGATAATATCATCAAACACGGTTTTTATCGAGTTTCTAAAACTTGTAAATTTCGATGTATTTTTAAGACCGTTATTTCAGATAAACGACTCAGGGGGGAGCCAAACGATTAGAGCGACGTGAATGATTGGAAGACGTGAATTTTGGACGAAGAACGGCGCGCGGACACACTCATTCAAAGTTGATAAAACGGATGTCAAAATTTTACGCGGTCTCGCGTGCAGATACGAGCGTAGATACACGCGTCCACAATGCGGGGGGATATCGTCGCGCCGTTTGCCAGCGCGACGTCGAATGCGATTTATCTCTTTCTCTCTTTCTCTCCCCCTCCTCCCCCCCGTTTCTCTCTCTCTCGAGTGACTTGGAACGATTAACACTCGGGTCGATCGGTCGAGTGACGTCGATGAGGCTTCCGGCGATGGCGGTATAATTGCGCCGGTTATTTCAAGTCAGTCTGTCGCGGGTCCATGGTGGCTCACAATTTCGAAACGATGGCTATCGAAGTTATACGGGCGGGTTGATTGCAATTACGATCGCATCACAAACGAGCTTTCGTACGTACGCCGAAGGCTTCAGCAGACGGGCGTGCGTATCGCGCATATTATAACTGCACCGCGTCCATAACGTGTCCCATTTATGGCACTAATCACGGCCGCACACGAACCGCACGTAGACGCAATATGCAGTATTACTGTGTCCGGTTTGGCTATGATTCTCCTATTATCGGATCGTACCGGAGTCAATATCTAAGCGGCTCGTTAAAACGGTTTTTATCCGTTAAGCGAAGCGCGCGTGCGATTACTTTAAAAAAATAAAAAAATAAAAAGGAAAAAGGAAAAACAAGTGGCGCAATAACGCGCGCTAGAAGATAAAGCGAAAGACGTTAAACGTCGCGTCTGGTAATTGGATTATCGCGCGATAACACGGGGTACATGGCGCGGGCCAGCAGTGGCGTGCGAGCTGCCGTTCGCGAGCTACAAAATTTCGCTATATTTGGAATTGATGTCACTCACGGGTAAACATACGCGGCGATGTTAGATACGCAGCGAGAGAGAAAGATGATTTCCGTTGTACTTGACGTAACGAAATAATCTCGGGAGGCTATCGATCTCCCGGCCGTAAATTACGTTTTCGGTTTGCTGAGAATCCGAGAACGCAGATACAGCGGACGAGCGGCCTGAAATATGCGCGAGAAATCGATCTTCGCAAATGCTCGAAATGGGTATATCCAGGCGCCCCCCCCCCTGAGCTTAGCCCCGGGACCGGCGATATTTTCGCGAGTCCGCCCCTATATTACCGCTCGTAAAACTTTGCTCTTATGTTCCGGCCAATCGATGCGGAAAGTTCCGTGGGTGCATACGCCGACATCTATTCTCCGCTGAAAAGTTGCAGTTCCTGAAGCGATTGATTATCTTGGTGTTTCACCTGGCCTCGCTGTCCTTAGCCGTGTACTTCAGGCCCGCGGGCATGGAGGCCGTGCTGCTGCAGTGGCCCGAGGAGATAACGGACGTCGTCCGCACCGCGGCGGAGTGCATCACCGTGCTGGGCGTGCTCAATTACATCCTGGTGCAGCTGGGCGGCGAGATGGTCAACATCGGCCCGCTGTCGTTCCTGAAGCAACTGGTAGGTAGGCCCGTGCACTTTTTCCCTCGTGCGATTTTTCCCCGGCCAGCCAGGAGCGTTTTACCGTTCGGGTCTGAACTTTGCGGCTCACTTATCTCGAGAAGCAAAGCCAATCGCAAAAATACGGACCGGCGAAGCCCACTCTCGCGTTACCGAGCGAAGAATGTAACGCGGAGATACGTAAGAGCTGGAAACGTAAGACTGTAAGGGGTGTTTTGTCGGTCACTCGGTTACAAATCCACGCCAGGGGACTTTAGGCGTTTTCCAGCGGGGAGACACGGCGCGGCCGTGAATTATTTCGTCCTTGTTTAACACTCGGCAAACAAGAAGGACGAAATGATTCACTCTGTTGCACTGTGTCAACTGCCTTTCGCCGGAAAACGCTCCTGCGGAGAGGGACGGAATAACTTCGAACAGGTTAATTAAATTTTACAGAGACGAGAATTAGATTTTACGGAGATAATTTTCCCTCAGATTATTGCGCGCACGAAGTTGCGTAAGTAAAATTCGCGAGGCGCAATCGGCATGAAAAAGAGGACCCGCAATTCCAACGGATCCATTTCCGAATAATTAATATTTTGTATAACGAATAAGATCTAGGATACCCCGGGTAAGCCCCCGTTAAAACGCTCCTGTTTCCTACCGTCGCTGCACCATCTTCGTTTCTCCCGGTCGCGAAATATCCCGTTGTTTCGTGATGCTTCGCAAATGCCGATACTCAACGGTGCAATTTCGGTACGGCGATACCGGCTAAATGTAGCCAGTTACGCAAATCCCGAGGCTGGTGAACTGTAACGGATCACGGATCTATGGATGCGCCGAGGTATATCCTACGGTTGCCAAAGGAAGCTGCACGTTCGTGGTACTAATCTTTCATGCATTAATGAGCCCGAAGAATAAGAGAAGGATAGGCCGATGATTACCGAGGTATTACGTGTAGCGGTATAGCGACAAGAACGGCGGTCTGACGATTGGCTCTTTCGGTCTTTTATTTTTTTTTTTTTATCAATAACGGTAATCCACGCGTCCAATCAGAAACGATGTATCGTGGCTGGCGATGATTACGTAGATAAAGAGGCAACTTAATTCTTTATTAGATCCATAATAAATCAGCGTTAAACGCGGCATAATAATTTAATGTCTCTTTATTTAATTTAATTGACATCGCATTACGGTTGGATATCATGGAGTACTGAAATCTCAGGGAAACCACTGCCGGCAGTGATTGATTGCGTTGAAAGCATTTTTGGTAAATGTGGCATTTCGTCACATGTCCTCGATAGTAAAGATGGATTCTTTTTCGCCGGCGAATTAGAAGCGGCTCTCAATTAAAATTCCTCTTCGCAATCAGTTTGACTCTACTTCCTAGTTTAGGGAAAACATTACAACCGTATTCATTTTGTAATACGTATCGTGAACAATATAATTGATACCGTGTGCGTTTTTCGGCTAGAGAATTCTCGCGGATATCGGAAAAATGCGCGAGATATCGGCGCATTAGCGTGCCTATCGGTTATCTATCCATATCTATCAATTAAGAGGGAATCTACATATACATATCGTGTTGGTTATTGCTTGTGCTGGATCAATAGTACACATACGTCGCTCCGGTCCAATACAATCGGACGTAAGCTATATCGCTGCATTATTAAATGCGAGTCCGTGTATCCGCTTCGATTTGCGGGTAATTAATACCGCGACGATTCAAAAACGTTAACGCGCACCAGCCCGCAGCCGCGTCGTCGCACAATGTGTAATTTGCCCAATCTACGTGTACATAAATGTTTTATCAGTGTAGATACAAGCTAGCGATGTTTGGCTTGCCGTTTGTTAGCACCACGATTATCACGTAACGTCGCGACTCCTCTTCAAGAAAAACGTATACAACTTCATCTTTCGTCTCACATTTTTTTACAAGTTCGTCTCACATGAAGCGTCTTAAAAATTTTGGAAATTCTTTGACATTAATTGAAAACTGAAACGGCCTTAAAGACGATAGAGGGACAATCGTACCATCGAAGCACCGTCTCTCCGTCTTTGCCGAGGGGGAAACCGCTGACCGAAATCTTGTACACCAATACCCACTAATGTCCAGTGGGCATTACTTTATCTCATTAATTAAAGGAACGCAATGTAGGGGGGGGGGGCGATAATTCGGGGTGCATGCAGAACTGAAAAAAAAAGATTTTTGAGACATGAGGTGCCAACTTCACAGAGGTCCCCTACATTACGTTCTTTTAATTAATGTTTGATACATCGAGCCTCAGAAAAATGGTTGTTGATCTTATTATCTTTATAATGCCCCAGCAAGACTTAATGCCCAAATTAATGCCCCAAAAATGCCTAGTAATGCCGCAAATCTGTACACAATGCCCTCAGCGGTTTCCTCCCTCGATCTTTCCTTACGCATCGAGCAAATTTCACTTTGTGCGTCGTCGCCGTCGTGACGCAGCCGTTATATACGGTGAGGTATCGAAATTGCACGAAAATATCGATTCCCCTGCGGACGTTCCTGAAACGTTGCAAGAGTGCATGCGGCCGCGCTAACGTTCCGCCTGCGCGCATTTGCATTTCAGAGCCACGAACCGGCCAAGTTGATATTCGTGATCAGCAATCTGCTCATTCTCGCGTGCATTCCATGTCGTATCGCCGGCGATCGGCACGCGGAGGATGCGATACTGGTGTACGCCGTGCCGGGCTCATGGTTTCTTCTTATGTTTTTCGCCGGGTAAGTAATACGGCGCGGCGACGGCGGCGGCGAGACGCGGGGGTGGCGGCCGCGAAATTAAAGTGGTCGCAATTTACTGGCGCGACGCGACCAGGTCGCGCTCGTTACATCGCCTGCCAGCCCGTTTGTTTCGCGCATCATTTTAGCGCGACCGCCACAGACAATCGCCGCCGCATGTAAACCGGCGACGTTGTTTACAGCCACCTGTATGTACAACGCACGCAATTTGTTGGACTGACCGTATCGAATGGATCTCTTCTACAGCAGATCTTCCCCCCCGCCCTGGATACAGTTCAACGTGTTTCCTGCGGTATCTCAGAACGCGTGGGAAGTAATGGTGATCGGTTATTTTTACGTATTCGTAAAAAAGGGTGCGATCTAAATATGGTAGACTGACGAGGGGGAGAAATCGCGGTGTCGAGGACGGGGCTGAAAAAAGCCTACTTCTATTTTTATAAAAGGACGCATGCTCCACCATTAATTGTCTAGCGAAATTGCAACGTGGAGAATGTTTAATATTAGATGACACGCATTATAGTGCACGAGGATTCGATTTGTGGAAGCTACCCGCGTGCTCGAGGAGGAAGCTCGCGGCGCATCAGCTGATAACCACCTGCTTAATTATCTTCTTTTATATAGGCGTTACTGTAATTTACATTTTATAAGCGTATTCCGTCTTTTTCCGGCGTGGTGACGAGTCACCATAACTCACACTGGAAAATCACTATTGGCATTCTGCTGGCGGGGTTTCCCGCTTTCACGAAGAACTTGCACAAATCGTGAATCTGCTTCCTACATCGGTTACTCGAACGACACGCGCTTCTAGTTTTCTTGCTTAACGACACTTTGACGAATGTCGACGCCTCCTGTCGGATGTACTTCCGCCAAGAATGGGACAAATGGTTTATCGAGAGGCGAGGACGTGCATTCGCATCGTGCTTATATGTTCCTAATACGTGATATCAAACCTACGTGACCGACATCGGGAATAGAACGGTCGGATTGCAGCTGCTCCTTTCGGTAAAACCCGGCTTGTTTCTGCCGCGGTGCGACTGCACACGTAAACACCACTAAAACGCTATATTTCGACTTGGCGTAGCCAAGTGTCACCTGCTAATCGCTTCTATTCTCTTTTTACAAATCAGATTCCGATCGACGTCTCTTTAAACGCGGTCGAACTTGCAAAAATATTATTACCGTTGTTCTTTACGAATTATACTTGACGTTTTTGCGATCTGCATATGCAGAAATATAGAAACCGAGGTCGTCTCTGATTCTCGAAGATGAGATGCGTAGAGTATCGACTCGATTAAGAGGAGGGCATTACGCTGGCCCTCGTATCCTTTCCTCGTGCCCTCCAGCTCTACCTAAGGTGCCTGAGAGCTAGCTATAAGGTACACAGAGGCGCTCCAGGAACTTGTGCAGGCGCAAAGAGTGTATATTGAATTTAAACAGACGTAAAACGGCGGCTCGTAAATGGTACATCGTAAAGCACTTAGGCCGTAACTTTAGAGGCGGGTTGTAGCCGGGGCTCCCGTTAAATTTTGTGCGAAATTAATCTCAGGCGTGACTGTGGCTTATTGCCAGGGCGAACGACAGCCGTGATGGAAGACAAGAAACACCGAGTGGCATCGAGCGCGCGGGTGCCTTTGAGGAATTACTGCACGTATACGTACTTAAACGAAGTGAACGCCGGGAGTCTAAAGAGGATCCTGATGGACAGTAATTACGCGCGGTGAATATCGCGGCCTCCTACGTCGCGCGCCGCTCTAAATAAATAAAATATATTGTAGTCCGCTTTATGGAGACCCGGTAACACAGTTAGCCCTTCATTACAGTTCTGGACTTCAAAGGATATATTGAGTTACGGCGCCGATAATGACATTCTGATTTTTTTCCCTCGATATTACTCATCATGCAATTTATCCCCTTTTTCGGCTTAATACGTTTTGACGCTTTGCCAGCGTCAAAAGCAACATTAAGCCCGCGTTTCCTTGGGAACTGTGATATTCGCACTGATAAAGACTTAATATTTTACTCGACTCATATTAGTCATGTACGAGCGATGGGTAGAGCGGAAGTAAAGGCGAATTAAACGGAAATTAAGTTACCATTCGTGTGCTAGCTCCTCAAGAAATACAAGAGTTATGTTTTTGTAACGTGGCCCCGCAGAGTGAAAATGCATGGCGCTCGTTGAACACTCGGTGCATGTAAAGTTAATCGTTGAAATTAATTATTTTCAAAGTTCCTCCCTCATAAACCAAGTATCGATTACAGCGGCAAGAAACGAAAGTGCTTTGCTTATAATTCATCGCTGCAAAATCGATATGGCAGCTCGGCTGGCATTAATCCGGTATAATTACCGAAGGAGAACCGCGGTACGGGAGGGAGAGAAAAACTGGAAGAACGCCGAACGTCTCTCCCTCTCGAACTTGGCTGAAAGTAACGAGGAGGACTCGCGTAGAGCCGGAAACTTGTTTGCCGAGCGGAAGTCGGCATTCCTATTGATTTTCCCGGGACAACGTATACGCGATACCCGGGACAACGATGTTATATCCCTCATCCAAGTTGCATCGCTTATACCGCGCCCGCTATACCGTGCGAGTTATGCCGCAGTATATCCGCGGCGTCTTTTCTATCGCGGCTGTACCCTCCCTTGAACTTACTCCGAGAAAAAGGCCGAAGATTTATGGGCGCCGGTAACCCTTGACAAGATAAGGTCACCTATCGATTAGCGGAAGAGGGTAGGACCGACCGGCGACGACGTCGTCGGAGTTAATGGAGGCTCGATCGATGTTCTCTCTTCCGCCGTTATTCGTCGATCATTCGCCATTCGTCCATCCGTCCGTCCGTCCGTTCGTTCGTTCGTTCGTTCGCTCGCTCGCTCGTTCGCAGAGCCACAGAGTCTCTTCAATCTTAATCCCGGGCGAATGACGAATCTGAAAAATTTGTCCGTCTGTCGACGGGCGCGGATGCAGCGTCGGGATTAAAAAGCTTTTGTTTTCCGCTGCCGTTCCGACGACGGCAGCGACGGCGTCGATTTTAATCGCGCTTCGTCCTTCGATTCCCCGATCCTAGGTTCCGGCTCGTGGCCCCCATTGTGCTCGCGTACGATACCGTCGGATGCCGCGAGTCTCGAATTACGAATCATTTTGATTTTATCGATGCGCACCGTCGATTGTAATCGTATAACCATACGCAAATGCACGGTCCTCAAAGCGTGAAAAATCGACGGGCGAAAAAGAGTGAAGAATCCGGTATAACGTAAAACAAAATGTTTTATATACAATAATTCCATCTATATGTTCTTTTAATTAGTTGAAACCAAAATCAAAATATGTGGCTACGAAGTAGAGAAAATATCCAATCAAGAATTATGTAATTTAATTGTTTGGATATCTTTTGTTAAAGAAAAAATTATATTTTTATTGTCCCTACAAAAGTATCAAAATCAAAATGTGTGGCTATGAAGTAGAGAAAATTCGGTTTATGTTAGGCAGTGCAGATAATATGTATTAAAGTAAATCTCTCTCTCTCTCTCCGTGAATTGTTTTAATGGCGACGAAGTATAACACGTTAATACTTTATTCGAAGTCTGCTTTATATTAGTAGTCGCGATTCTAACTTGCGATAACGAAAGAGTCGTAACTTACTTACACCGGAATATTACAAAGTTAATGCAATCAGTAATGCGCTAACTTAAAATGAAATTTTCTCTCGCTCTGAGTATAGGGATATCAATAAAAAGTGACCTTTAAACATTTTAAGCGCTCTACATGCCGCGTAATAAATTTTTTTTTCAATTTAATCTTGTCGTGTGCTCACAATTTATTATCGAAATTCATTTACGACATGAATAATTTTAATTATTCAATATATTTTTTAAAAGCTTTTAATAGCTAAAAGTCATAAATTAATATACGATTTGCTCTACAGCCGTTTGCATTTTTAAATATTATTTTTACAGTGAGGCGACGTTAAAAAAAAGATATCCAGTTAAATGTCGTATTATCGATAGTTTCCGATTAATCGATAATGTATTTAAATTTCTCTGTTAGGTAGAGTTATTAGCATTTAATTGTTTTCCTCGTTATAAATTTGTGAGCTGCGTGTAAGAAGAGTAGTTTACATATGCGCACCGGATTGCTGCACAAGCACTTTTCGTGCCTGACCTATTCGTGTTATCGCGGCTACTGGAAACGCGATAACTGAACTCCGATATCAAGTGTTCAAAGCCATGCACTTTTTAACTGGTTAACTGAACATTTCGTTATCCAAAGCCTTCTCTGTACAAGCGAATTAATACCGGTAAATGCAAATGATATCTGGGCCATATATTTCACGAAAACAAAATGCGAAACTGAAAATCAACCGTT